GAGTATGAACATGTAAAATGGAAACAAAATGATACCTTGTAGATAAGAAAGACATGTATAAACTAAAAAAATATACAACATAAACGCATCAATAAACTCTCAACAAAGTTTTGTTACAACATTAGTTTAAAAAAATCTGCTTGGTTTGGTGGTTGATGGATCAACACGATTAAAATATAATTATATTACAGCACAAATAAATAGGAATGCTCTATTATAGGATCTCACTCTTTCGAAAGCAAAAAATAATTAATAAATAACTTAATGAAAAAGGTCACCTTGTTTCACATTCCAAAATTTAAAGAACATGATACTTAACACATTAAATCCAATTAAAACTAAACTTTTTCAAATACTCACTCACAAATGCATTTGCGCATCGAAAGACAAATTTTAGACATTTCGGGATAGAAACTGAATCCTCTTTATAAGAGAAACCTGTCCTCTCATTTGCTTTATTTTCTTCTGTTAATTAATTTGAATCAAGTATTAGATTAATTGATCATTATTTTCTGATTTTTCACCCTGTTTAGCTCTTTGTGTAGTGTTTCTTACTGCTTTGCTCTTTTATTAACCCTTGCAGGACTGAATCAAATAAAGCACCTGATCCATTCAAACATTACAGACATCTATTTCGAGAGTTCAGCCCAAGAGAACAAGAGACTAGAGCGGCATCCTGATCCCGAGCAAATGAGAGGTAGGAGCAATCTAAGGTGAAGAGAGAGCCAAGCGATTCCAAGAGCAAGAGAAAGAGAGGGTTTCTTTAGGATCTTTGGCCGAGAAAGGTAAGTCGAGGGAGGTAACGGAGCAATCAAAACCTTCAGTTTCTTCTTCTGCCTTCCTTGGAACAGACTGACAAAAAGGTTTTAAGTTTTGGCAAATTAAAACTTCATTTCTATTTAGTGGTTATGTTTGTAGAATAGAACTTGAATTATAGGTCTTTTTATGTGACAAGTCCATATAGAAGTATTAGTTTTATAATTCATTATTTAGATCTTAGATCGATTTGGGATTTAATCGTAACAGAATTGGCATTAGAACGAGGTTTAATTTTTTTCAGAAGAAGAGTTTCCAAGGTTAAGATTGAAAGATTTGATGGTAAGACTAATTTCTTGATTTGGAGGAAACAAATGAAAGCTGTTCTGGTTCAAACGAAAGTGGCAAAGCTTTGGAAGGAGAGAATAGTTTACCAAATTCTTTGGATGCCTGAGAAAGCAAAGATCATGGAGTTAGGGTATAGCAAGCTTGTGTTGCATCTTAGCGATAAGGTTCTTCATTAGGTTGATTAAAAAACGACAACTACTGAAATTTGGAACAAATGTATATGACCAAAAACTTGCATAATAGAATTTATTATAAGGGAAAACTGTTTGGTTTGAATGTCTGAAATAAGATTCTGAAGCATAATATGGATGACTTTAATAAAATCGTTATAGTCTTAGAAAACTTTGGGGTTAAAGTGGACGATGAAGATCAGACCATTATTATCTTAAATTCATTGTCAAAACCATTTGCTCATTTTATAAAGACAATGAAATATACCAGGGAGACTTTATCTTTGTAAGAGGTTCAAACAAATTTGAAATCCAAGCAAATTGAAACCAAATATGAAAAGAAATAGAAGCGCTATGTGATTGAATGTTAGAGGCCGACCAGAGAGAAAGGAAAAAGGCAAAAGAAATTCGATGTCAAGGTCAAAAATCTAAAACCAAACTCAAGTGTCTCTTATGTCACAAGGAATGACACTACAAGAAGAATTATCCGGAATTGAAAAAAAATGATAAGGTAAATCACTAGAATTTGGAGATGCTTCAGTTATGTCTGATAAGTTTGTGGAATCAAGAGAGTTTGACAGTTACAACATATTCTAATAATAAAGATTAGAATAAATTCAAGCTGTTTTTTTCACATGACTCATAATAAGCACTGGTTTGCAACATATAAAGAAGCCAATGATGGGAGGGTTATTATGAGAAACAATGCAGCTTGTAAAGTCATTGGAATTGGAACCGTTAAAATTGAGATAGATGGAGTTATTAGAACTCTCATTGAAGTCAGATGAATGTCGGACCTTAAAAGAAATTTACTATCTATTGGTACTCTTGATGCTCTAGGGTGCAAGTTCAAGTCTGAAGGTGGTTTGTTGAAGGTTGATAGAGGTACGATGGTTATTATGAAGGGCAAATGAATAAATGGTTTATACTCATTGTCAAGAAAGATTATGACACCGTTAATGGAAGTTGATACGTAACAGAAGCAAATCATATAAAATTTTGACATATTTCCCTAGGTCATATTAGTCGTTAGAGACTGGATGTTCTGCGAGAACAAGGAGTCTATGGCAAAGATAATGTTGATAAGATTGATTTATGTGAACATTGTGTCTTTGGAAAGCTGACTCGAATAAAGTTTAATGCGGGACAACATACCACCAAATGAACTACTGATTGCATACATTCAAAAATTTGGGGACCTGCTCCTGCTTCAATTTTAGGAGGAGACCGATATTTTATCACCTTCATTGATGATTTTTCAAGAAAAGTTTGGGTTTATGTTTTGAAGCATAAAAATGAAGCTTTTAGGAAATTCAAACAATGGAGAGCTTTGATTGAAAATCAGCCTCAAAAGAAAATAAAGAGGTTGAGGATAAATAATGGCCTTGAAAAAAACTTGATCGTAAATTTACTGAGTTTTGCAAAGAAAATGGAATTGCCTAACATAAGATAGTACGATTAACTCCACAACAGAATGGTATTGCTAGGAGGATGAATTAAAATTTTGATTGGGAAAGTGAATTGCATGTTGTCATTTACAAAAAATGTTAAGCGCTTCTAGGGTGAAGCAGTTAGCACTGCTTGTTACTAGGTTAATAGAAGTCCATTTACAACTTTTGAATTAAAAATCCTGATTAAGTTTGGATATGGAAAAAGATATTACAGTAAACTCAGAATTTGTATATGATCATGTGACTGAGTGAAAGCTGGAGACAAGATTCAAGAAATGTTTATTCATAGGGTAGCCAGAGAGAATTGAAGGGTATAAATGTTGGTTGATAGATGAATCCAAATGTATTATAAGCAGAGATGTCATCTTCAATAAACAGTATATGATGGTTGGTCAGACTACTGGAAATAATCAGGGAACCACGATCAGCACGGAGAGTGTAGTAAAATCGCAGCATAACAGTGATACAACTCAGTTGTAAGTGGAGCTACTTCTAGTAGAAAAAAATAATCAGGGTCATCAAATAGATCAGACTGGGTTGGAGAATTACAATCTTGCAAGGGATCGAACAAGCAAAAATATAAAAGCACCTAAGCATCTTAGATTTGCTGATTTAATTGCATATGCTCTTAATACTACGGAACAAATTTTGGAAAATGAGTCGAGGTTGTAAAAGAAAGCAATGAATAGTGATGAGAAAGGTTTCTAGAAACAGGCAATGGATGAAGAAATAAAATCACTGAAAAGGAATTGTATTTGGGAACTTGTTAATAAACCACTGAATAAGAGAATTGTGGGCTACAAATGAGTCTATAAAAGAAAAGATGGTATTTCAGATGTTGAGCAAGCTCGAATAGTGACAAAGGGTTTCACTCAAAAAGACAGAATATTCTTTAATGAGATTTTCTCACCTATTTTAAAGTAGGCTACAATTAGAGTAATTTTATCACCCGTAACCAGATACAATCTAGAGCTTGAACAGATGGATGTCAAAACAAATTTTCTTCATGGAGAACTTGAGGAGGTTAATTACAAGATCCAGCTAGAGGGATACATCAAATATGGTTAGGAAAATAAACTATGCCTTCTTAGAAAATTTCTTTATGGGATAAAGCAGTCTCCACGATAAGGTATAAGAAATTTGATTCATTCATGATTTAAAATTCTCACAAAAGAAGTGGCCTTAATTTATGTGTTTACTACAAAAGATTATCAGAGCAAAATTATATATTTACTTTTGTATGTTGACAATATGCTCATAGTCAGTGATAGTAGCGATTATGTTTAGAAAGTTCTAAAAAAGTTTGAAATGGATACTGCCAAATCAGTTTCTTCTCCTTTGGGATAGCAATTCAGGCTTTCAACCACTCAATCACCATCAACAGTAGAAGATCAGAAATATATGGATTCAGTTCCATATGCTCGTGACGTAGGTAGTAATATTTACTCAATTATTTGTGCCAGACCAGACATATTGCATGCTACAAGTATGATATGAAGATAAATGGTTAAACCTGGGAGAGAACATTGAAGGATTGTTAAGTGAATTTTCAGATATTTGAGGAGTTCGGTTGATATTGGTTAAATTATCGGAAGGATAACTAGGACAAAGAGGATATTTCAGATTTTGTGGAACACAAATCTGACTGGTTATAATTTTACTATTTATGGGAATACAGTCAGTTGGAAAGTAAACTTTCAGTCAATCTTTATCTACAGTAGAGACAGAATATATAGTTGTTGCTGAGGCAATAAAGGAAGGCATCTGGATGAAAGATTTTCTTGAGGAGCTTGAGAACAAATAAATGAAGACTATAATATGGTGTGATAGTCAGAGCGCAATTCAACTGACGAAGAATCATGTATTTCATGAAAAAACAAAACAAATTGATATCAGACGACATTTCATCAGAGACGTTCTTGTTCAAGGTACAGTGGATGTTCAGAGAGTACATACAGATGAGAATCTGGTTAATATCCTTATGAAGATAGTGTCTGGAACCA